TGTGTGTGAAGCTAATGTATACTTTTCAAAATCTCCAAACAAGTCAGTCTGTTTTATTTATGTAGCTATAATGGAAAAGAGACCTGAGTGCAGCACTATGGTGCAGCAGTAGAAAGCAGCATCAGAAACAATCACATACTCTTTAAATAGGTCAAAAAGTTTTAAACTTAAAAGTCTCATCTCATTGGATAAATGTAAAGTTCACTGTCATTTGTTTCATTTAATGTTATACACTGCAGTGTACTGGAAGGCTGTCTTGGCCAGTCCTGGGAACTGGTTTGTGGAACAGAGGTTAAATTTGAGAAGAGATGTGATATAGTGAGTAGGGGCTGCACAATATGGTAAAAACACAGTATTGCAATATGATTCACAATTAGTGTGGAATTAACATTTTTGCATCCTGCATGCTCATTAGCATGATGATGTACACTTTGTTGGGCTCTGTACCAAACAAAAGTGTTCTTAAATCTAAAGGTTTGTATGCCGGGGCATCTCTTCAGTACTACAGTACTTCAGTATAATGCTGTTTAATCACACATTTTACCTTTTATTTAAAAAACTGCAGCTTCTGCGATTTACATATTGCACAATTTTAATAATATTTCTATTAATACAGCCCCAATAGTGAGGCAGCTTTATTGATAATTTTAAAGAAAAGTGTGTATATATGTATCCTCTTACTGCTCAAAGGGTTTAAAATATTTAGAGCATATAACACACTCTATCTGTAGATTTCAGCAGGTCTGCGTTTGCTAAACTGTGACCTGCTCTCGTCACCTCAGGTGGTCTACAATGTTGGTCTGTGCATCTGCTTGTACGACATCACTAAACTGGAGGACTCCTATATATTCCCCGGAGACGGAGCCTCACACACCAAAGGTATGATGACAGTGACAGTAAACGGGGCTCTCTCATTTCCTCATACACTTACATCAAGCTATAGCCATAAACTGTATTTTTACCGCCTCTGTAGATTTTATATGATCAGTACTGGAGTCAGTTTGATGTTATATTAGTGCGATAATTCTCCTCATTCACTATTTCTTTCTTTTTGTGTGATTTTATTACAATCTCGGTGAGGTATTGAAGGGAAAAAGTGTGTCAGAAATGAAATCTTTACCCTGACATCCTCATAGAAACAGTTACATACAGATCAGAGTGGGATGAAGAGGGTCAACTTTTTCTGCCCTGCTAAGAGCCATGAAAGAGTGATATAGACCCAGATAATTGCCACTCTCAGTACTCAGATATTAAAGCAGCAGCAAGATAACATTTATTTTTGTTGGCCCCTGTGGACAAAAGCGGTAGTGTTTCGGCCTTGTTGCATTTATTTAAAGGGGAATCTGACCAAATCTGACGCCAATATTCTCGCTGATGGTCTCGTGTGCTTATGTAAGTCATATAAAGGCATC